CCGTTAAAGAGTAACAAACGTTCATCCGCATTCATAATTTTAGTATGATGATATGATGATAACAATAGTTTACAAACTCTATGATATGACTATTATCTACGCAATGCAAAGCATTCGATAAAATAAATGTTGTGTTTGCTGAAATTTCACTTATCAGTATGGCAATAGGGATTAAAATTGAATAACTATGTATGCTGTTAGTGATTTGAGGTTAGAATCGAGATAGAGGTTAAATCATGTGAATGACATGGATATGGAATATTGCTGGCTGGTTCTATGTTTTATTGGAAATCGAACGCAGATTCAAATATTTGAACCAACATTCGTAATGTAAAATATTCCGTTCGTATTTTTTTTAAAGTTATCGTCATGTTTTTTTTTTTTTCGTAAAATAATTGGATATCTTTTCACACCTGCATTTTTTATTGTAAACTGTACATATATTATAATAATATATACGTATATATTGTGTTGTCTAATTTGATGACCTTGTACTTACGTACTTAATAGAATCTAACCTCTGTGTGGCACTATGAATTTCATGTACAACTCAATTGATCAATAAAGCGGTACCTAGTAATACTAATTGCACAATTACTCAATATCTCCATTCCCTATCACAATTGTGATAGAAACCCGATTACAGGACATAATATTAACTGATCTTCAGACAAAGGGTCGTGACATCTTATGGAGGCTCGTTCGTACACTTCATTAGGACATGAATTATGAATGGAGGGCATTAGCATCCGTCTGGAGGGTACATGGCTGTGACCAGTATTGTTATGCAGATTGTCACCGGACGACGCGCCCCTAGCATGAGATGTTTGCAAGCCAACAAATATACATCGATAATAACCGCTTGTTACTAATTGTTCTTGGATATGCAAATTCTATACTTGTTGTGGTTTAGTTCGGGTATTGTGTTTGTACGCTTTCGATGCAGTTATGTGTGTATTTTGCTTTAGTGTAGCGGATTGCTGATTTCAGTTTTTGTTGATTTTTGTCTTGTTGTATGTTCATAATGCGGTACAAAGTAATACTTTTGATGAGTTAATTGGCAATGTGGCGTTTTGGAACAATAAAAATCGTAATATATTATGTAAATCATATTGACTTTTTTATAATAGACTGTTGGTACCAAAATATACAGAGTAAGTATGCTGCGACAGCAAAGGCCTTTTTCTCACTCGGAGAAAGTTTGAGCTAGCTCAAGCCGGATTGACCATTTAAAACTTATAATTAGAAATTATAATCCTGGTTTCCAAATTCTGTTTGCATTCACGTTTTGCTAGTGGCGCCTTAATAATTTTCGAAAGTTCATACAAATTCTGAAAAAGTCTCATTGGTTGCCACGGTTTAAAACGGCAAGAATGCTGACCTCCTGACCATGCCACTACGACGATCAATAAACACTTATTATCCACAGTCACATCCATAAAATTTCTTCAGCCACATTTCCACCAAGTTTGTTCTTCAAATAAATAAAAAAGTACTTACCAACTATATCTTTATGTAAATAGAAGAAGTTTACAACACGATTTAATGTCGAAACTAGCACATTAACATTTCGTATGCAGTGAAAGTCCCTTCAGTAACCTATATATTCCATTGAATGTGAAACTAGGCAAGTTTTCGCAATAGTTGAGACTAGCGAGTTGGAACAAAGAGAATAGTTTTTCGCAAAAACCTTGTAGCGGAGGTAGCTTCAATTTTAACTTTTTGACTGTAAATGTGGAATGTTTGATGACGATATTGTGGGACTGATGACGTAGCCTACGCTGTTTGAAAAGTTTAAGAAATAACTTAAGCATAGCATAAGTACATATTAGGTATTATTGATTTTTTTAATTCTCTATGTTGGTGCATTGTTTTGATTGTTAGCGCTGGTTTTTTTTCTTAAAGACTTTTCTTATTTGGGTATTTGCATCGCCTTTCTTGTTTGTCTGTTCAAATAAACTACACACTTTTAGTTTAGTTACCAAAATTTTAAGTATTATAACTTAAAAAAGTCTTATAAACAATCGGGCCCATCTTTGAAACCGCAAGTCATCTAAATCAATCTTACCAAGAAAATCACGGAAATAATCTTTCAAGGGAATACAATCGACCTAACAATACCCTTTTGTAACTCACGCATTATTTACACGCGTAAAACTACGTTATCCCAAGGGGGCAAGGCTCACTTTCCAAAAAGTCTACTCCATCCATTACACTGCGCACACGTCCCCAGCACTTAAGATGCAAACTGCGACATTCAAATCGTAATACACTAGGGAGTTTCCGAAATGTACGGCACCAATATTGTGTTAGGAGAACAGGGATCAGTGAATATCACCCCGTGTGTCTAAACTCTGGCCTCGACTGGACAAAGACTTCAAAGGAAACCTCAGTGAGGGTGTGCCATTAATAAAATACGTCGGTGACTTTTATGCGGTGATGTGCTCTTTAAATAATGGGCTTGTGAGATGGATGTAACGGAAATATTTTCTTTTTGAGTTGTACGTATTACATAAGTCTAAAGTGCGAGTGATGAGTGAGTACCTTGGAATATCTTTGAAAAAAGCATTTCCCTGACTTGGTTTCCTAAAACTTTCAACTATCTACATATATGGGATTCTGTATAGTGATGGATGTAATTTTATAACTTTCAGATAAAGTACGCTTTATAAAAATAATTAGGTATGGTTGACAGACTATTATTCTATTTTTACGTTTCAAAAGTACCTGGTAATGGTTTAGTTGGAATAAATTATTTTGACTTTGACTTTCTGAATGTTTCCAGCTTACCTTATAGTGCATTCAAGGTGGAAAACAACCCTAGTAAACTCACCATAATATAAATATAAAACCCAAGACAAATCCTAGTAGATAAGTTTCCATTACACCAACATATAAGGCGCCTAGGGTTGTCGCAATGAAAATAACAAAGCCTCAGGTAATTTCGCTAATGCAAGTGGTTACACCCTATCTACATCCCACTTACAGAGGCTTCGCCCAAAGGTACCTATTAAGAGGGTCGACATACGTGATATTGTCAGACCTTCGCTGTACATTTTGACTAAGTGTTAATATTAAGCTTTAGGGATGGTCTTAGTACGAATGGTCTAAGAAATTGGGAACTGTTCTTGTTATATATAGAGTGTAATTACTGCTTCTACCTTTGATTACGTCAGCGGTTTTCATTCTGAAATGTATGTGAGGATGTTCTGGCACCGGGAATCTGTACCTGGCGAGGTTAGTTTCATTGCAAACACAGATTCTTGATATTTACTCTAAGTTACGCTCGTGTTTGAGTCGAACTATATGGTCAGAGGATAATCCTGAATCTCGATTTGTACCACATAACTGTGTTTGCTTCACAAATGGGTGAACTATGTTGTATTTTATTGTTCTTGTATAGCCTAGGGGAAAAGGACATCGCCCTGGCCGGGTATGTGTGTCTCATTAACCTTTAAACACAAAGAAACAACATCAAAAGTTTTACTTCGTTTATATTTGTTTCGCAGGCAATATCATACATTTACATAAGGCCAATAAGTAAATAAATACTGGCTATTGAATATATACACAACTCTTAACCAGTTTAAAACATTAAAAAAAAAAAACAACAAAAAACACAAGACATTCGCGTAAAACATTTACTACGAAACTTCCATTTACCTTAGATACAGTTTACAAATGAATATTATTTTTCTCATAAATTCAACAATATTAAAAACGTTTAACAATTTACAAAATTTTCCTCCTATACTTCATAGCGTTTCTGATTTACATACATTTCTTTCATAATACGTACATCTATATTATATATTATAATAACAAATTATAAATGAGCAAACAATATACTAACGTTTATAACCGCGTAGCTACATTATGTTATGTACATATACATTAACAGCTTATGATTATAGATATACAATTATTATGACATCGATTAGTTACATGCTCACACGCAACACAAATGAATTTTTTTATGAAAATTATTGTACAATAGTTTTAAAGTACAAAAAGGAAGCGATAGGAGAACATAGTAGTATTGAACAATCAGATTTTTATGTATAAAACAAATACTCTAAAACAAATAAGGTTAAGTAACATACCATTGCTAGTTATGTATTTTTTTTTTCTAGGAAAAAAATATCTCAAGACCTATTTGTTAATATAGTCTTAAACAAAACAGGTAATTCCAAATCTGAATATGCAGGCTTTACGAAATAGGTTTGTTGACAATTGAACAATCCTTATGTAAATTGTTACAGTAGTAGTCACGTGAAGTATAAAGTTACAACTTCTTTATAATTTTTAAGTAATTAACTGCTATTGAAAAATAATTCGTTACATTTCATATACATTTAACATATATAGAATAAGCATTTACACTGTTATAAGCTGATATCTGATGAAATGCTAGTGACTATTATGTATTACAGTTCATTCACCATTTGCTATAAAACGTGCCATAATTAGCACTACACTTCGCAGTTAGTACCGCACTAAGCACCGAACTCAGTGCTATAGTCTTTAATCTAAATGATAAACAGTCTTACGTCCAATTAGTAAGACACACTCCTAATTGCCGAACATTGCTGAGCCATGCACAATTTTAAGACAAGCCCACACGAAAGAATTAGTTCAATTGCGTATGTTATACACGAAAACGTGACAAATTATACAGATTAATATTAAACGAGATAGCAAATTGATGATACGTTGTTAATCAGTCTAAATCACAATAAAGTATGAGTTCTGGGCGGTATTTACTATCGTATACAATTTCAGAGTCTTTTTGAAATTATCGTTAATTAATCGAGTTTAAAAATTAAACGACGCTTCCAAATAATACTATATTTGGAATCGGGTACTAAATTGCACACTATAGAGAATCATATTTCGGAATCACCTATGCCCTACGTACGTACGCAAGTCGAGACTGTTATAAAAATACAATGAGTAACTTTGCCAGAGTCTTAACTTTGCACATGGCTTTAAGTAAAAGTTTAGCATGTGGCGAGGACTAAGGTCGTTATTAAAAAGGGAGCGCTCACGGTGAGGGCGGACGCGGCAGCGGGGGCTGGCCCGCCTCCGCCTAAGAAGCTTGCATCTTCATCTCTTGGTCCACCTTCTCGAAGTGGGCCCTGAAGACTGGAACGGACATCGTTCGTTTCTTCGATGGAGTAGTCGCGATCGTCGTCGTCTCGCGATTTGCGATTTGGTAACTCCATTTCTGTATTACGCATGGAAAAATTACATTAGCATTATTCACTCCGTTGAATTAAAGATTAGAAACTAAATTACAAATAGGACTGTGTGTTATACAATATTGTGCAATGGCGGAGATATTGCACCAAAAGTTAACATATCTGACAGTTAAACTGGACTGTAGACAATATAATAATTCTATACACAATAGTCCAACTATCTTTGAAACACGATTCTAGAACACGAGACGTAGTCCAGTTTGCGATCACTTCTTGCTGTACAAAGTTCCATTGACAATACAAAGACAGTATGGCGCCTCCTTTGTGGAAGACTTACCATATAACCTAATGTTGCCCTCGGCATCGCCTATAGAATTCTTAGATATGCACTTGTATCCTCCGAGGTCACTTCTCTGGATGTTCCTGATAACGAGACGCATCTGCACGCTGTATGCAGAGCTGTTGATCTCCGTCATCTGGTATTTGTCGTTTGATATTATCATTTCACCTGGAAAAGGAATTGAAATTAAAGTTTCGGTTTAATTGATAAATAATTAATATTAGTCATGTCTTATTGTTTACTGTAAAGGAATTAATTAACCCACTAAAATAAATTTTAAATGACCGAGACCAGTAAATTACTTATGGAAGCGTCCTGTTGCACAATCAACTATTAATAGTGTTTACATAGTGCCAAAGTCTTTGGCTAGTTGATACAGTCATTTGTTTCATCGACCCTTTATTCGATAGGCACAAGCCTTTCCGTCCATTTATATTCGGCCACTTCCGACCATTGTCCGCCCGATATCGAATTGAAATATTGTTTCGGCATGTCGTGTGCGGAACAATACACTATATGCTCACATAATGTATCTACTTTGCAGTATGTGCTAACAGAACAGTATTCGGTTAAAATAATATTCAATTTCATCCCATCCCATGTTGCAACGTCAACAAGCAAATGTTGATTTTGGGGCAAGTGTTAACATTATTCGTTCGTGTTCAATTTGTCAGTCGGAAAGCTTAATGTGCTTCACAAAACAATAGTAATTACAAGGATAAACGGCCGCTTTGCGATTGTTAATACATTAATAGTGGTGTGTCGCGACCGAATCATGGTTTGAGGGACATATTGTTGTTTGCCAATCAAAATGTTGGCCCTTGTTATGAACATTGGCTATTCATTTGTAGTGTATTACGGGTGAATTCCCTATTCAGCGAGATATGAATCGAAATCGCTATGTTGTTATCGTAGCTGGCGATTTGTAAACGGAACAGACTGGAATGTTTTTATAAGCAGACATTTCGTATTGGAAATTATTTCAGCTACTGTTTTATTTTGTACATAATAATTTATTATTGTTGTAATCGTAGCATTTGTCAGCTGAGTCATCAGTAATGAGTCTCGAATGATTAAAGCTATAATATTTCTAACTTCAAATCATTTGCAAAGTGATTAAATCGTGATTCTGAGCGAAGAAGGAAGCATCGATATTCCTTAGGGTTTACTTTAGAATATTAAACGTGGGTTTCGACCTAGAGCATTTATTATGGCATGGAAAAGGTATTGAATAAAAAATAAAGTCATTCCATACGATTTTGTGAACCTGACGTAAACAATCGAAGTGCGAATCTAAACACAGTCAACGTTTTGAATAATAGATACGATGCGCGCTCGTGTTTTTGATCCATACTCTCTATACCTAGTGCACTGTTTGTACTTCATTGTATTTGTAATGCATTTATTGCTGAATTTTAAAAATATTCCAACAATGTAGTCATACGGAAAGTAGGCAGAATTTCCATTTAATAAACATGCAAACAAATTTACTTGGCAACTATTTTTAATACATGTGTTGATATGAATGCATAGTTTTATTGGAATTTTGTAATGAAACTGGGTAGTGAAGGTTTCTATTTTTGTTTGAAAATAGTACTGATAACTGGCAAGCTTCTATGACCAAGTAACCAAGAATATGATGCAAGCTAAAGAAGTGCAATTATCAAGTTTAATAAGTTCCTGAACGCTTGAGATAATGATACGATGAGTTGAATGTACGAAAACAAAAATAAATTCAGGACGAAGAAGTAACCATTGATAGGGCTTTAAAACAGTATAAATTATACATCTATACTGAATCATTCTTTATTTTCTTACATAGAAGATTAAAAAAACAGTGCAGAGCGTTCCAAAAATGTTACACGTTAAGGGCTGATTTTTCAATGGTTAGATAAAAGTTACCAGGGGAATAATTATGATGCTGTCGCGTCAGAATGTTTGTATAAGACAGTGACAACAATAATTTTATCCCACAGATAACATTTATCTGACTATTGAAAAATCAGCCCTAAATCAATTAGACGGTTTTCCTCTACACTTGTCATAGCTTTGTAGGAGATAAGTTTAAAATCTTTTGTTTGCATTCGAAAACGTATAATAGACCTTGTTTATTGAAAGAAAACGTTGAAAATATGTGAGTGGATACTGTGTATAAAGTGTACAGCGATTCCGTTGAATATTTGTCGTAAGCTACATTATTACCGTGGCGCGCGCCGCGATGCCTCGTTCGTTTTACATTAAAAATTGCTTGCATTCTTCTTGCTTCGCTTTATTTTGTGGGCAGGGTGTTTTTATTTTTTTTTGTTACCAGCCAGTGACCAAGGCTTTCGGTTATAAAATTGATATTTAGGTTATAGGCATTTTAATTATAGAATCCTCCTTTCAAATGTTTTTGTTTTTTAATTTGCGATTTAGATTGAAGGTATTGGTGTGATTAGTTGCGTATCTGCCATTTTCACCTGTCACCCGCGGCTCACCACAGACAGGTGGTGGGACATAGGGCTGATGTTCAGCCGGGGTTGCGGGGTAAGCGCAATGACGCACCACGACCTCGGCCCCGAGCAGGAGAAGGAACGGGGGTTTTTAGTCAGTAAGAGTCTGACACTCCCTTCCGCCCAGACCTGGGCGGGAGAAGTCATTGGATGATTTTCCCGTCTCAAAAAAAAAAACCAGCGGCAACTGCGTTGATGTCGATTTTACACGTTTTCAAGATTTTATTCTACGTAAAAACCTTTTCTGGACTTCCACAAATAATTGAAGACCAAAATTAGCCAAATCAGTAAAGGCTTTGTTCATTTAAAAAAAGTGGCTTTGATTTTTTTATATATATTATATTTGCATGCAACCATTTCTTTTAATATGCATTTCACGATTAAAATACTTTAGCTTAAGCTAGTAATTACATACTTCAAATTAAGCAAGTTTATCAAGCTTTCATGTATTGAAATTAAATCAACATTTCAGTCATAAACATTTTTACAAATTTTAGTCATATACATAACAACCAGACCCGGAACTAAAATTTGTGGATCATACACGGTGTTGTTACACGCGGGAATCGAATCCACGACACTCACAGTCTAAGTACTTGTTTACTTCTTCTAACTAGCGCGCTTATCTTTATATAACCCGACAATCCTATCTATCATTATAATTGAATGCATTGTAAATGTAAACTAGGTTTGCGCCCCGTCTCCGCCCGTGTTGACAGTCGGGCGGTGTTAAGCTATATTAACTTAGCTGCGACACTAACTACTATTAGTTTCACGCTCTCCTGACAACGTTAACTAAAGACAAGCATTTGTTACAAAGAAGAAATTAACAAAAGTGACTAATTACATACTTCTTATCCGGATTAATCCTAGATTATGTGTTTTTGTGATAATCTATTCAGGTCAATTCTTCAGTCATTTTTGCTTCTTCGAGGATTCAGTTAATTTTACGTGGAAATGTGACAGACATACATACACTATCCATCTTTCCATCCATACTTTCCAAATTATGGGTTTATTGTAATAATAGAATAAACCAAGAAGTATGGCAGAAACACGATAGCTTGGCTTATAAGATGTTGATAATGAAGTATCTCTAATGTTAATTGTTTCAATGGGTGAATAGTGACATTGGGTTAAAGATTTACAATGTATGGTAATAAAGTTTAAAAACCGCTAAACCGCTGGTCGGATTTCCAAAATTCTTTCACTGATAGATAGCTACAATGTTCCTGAGTGCTATAGGCTATAAAACATCACGCTACTAATAAATGGAGCCGAGCAGCAGTTGAAACCGCGCGAGACTAGATAGTTGGCGTATAAAACTAGTAGATTAATGTCTTCGATGATTTAAGAAAACTCCAAACATTTCGTTCACTCCGCTTTAATTCACATCTTCAGGCACGAAACCGAGATAAAGTAAACGTTGAAAAGAGTTCTTTGAAAAGTGCATTTAGTTGACAAAATTCATTACTATGAGAAAATCCTCGCTTATTCAGCATGAAGTTAATGGCAACTACACAAGTATAATACTGCCAGTTCAATGTTGCCGACTTGATGCGGTTATTAATCACGCTGCAAGAAAGAAAGACAGAAAGTGAATTTATTTGTAAGGGAGGTAAATAAGGCTTCAGTATAGCTGAAGTAGCAGGTAGTGAGCGCAATAATGTCCCGCGCACCGGTTTGGGGAAGGAGAAGGAATTGGATGGGTTTTAGTCAGTAAGAGTCTGACACAAAATATAGGAGAGCCATGCTTCGCCATCGTTGGATCGACCGGAGTGATACCAGGTCCTTACAGAAAACCGGCGTGAAACAACCATAGCGTTTTCTTTGGCGTGTGGCTATGGTTATCGGAGCCCAAACCTCCTCCTCTTTCAAACCACATATCTTTTAAATCCGAATACCCAAAAAGGTGGCAACACAAAAGTAACTTGTCTGGCATTTAAGGTGTCCATGGGCGGCGCTGATTATTTACCATTAGGTAATCCGTTTGTCTTTCAACCATATGCAAACAAGGAAATCCCTCTCACAAGTTCTTTGATTTTCTACCTTTAGGTAGAGGTTTAAGGTTTCAGTAATCTGGCCTTGTGGCCACTCCTAATCTTTCCACGTCAAAAGAGCCAACTACAGGACTACACATTTGACAGATCCCACGCAGCAGACTTCTCTAATAAACTTGATCCTTTTAAACTGTGACCTTTAACCCGCTTGCCAAACAAAGAGATAACAGAAAACCGTACTTTTTAACTCCAACAGTGGACTATCACGGGTTGTTGGTAATAATAATAATAACGAAGATGACGCCATTTCGACGTCGCCGTCTTGCTGCAGTCGTTAATCACGCTATAAGACCCGGTCTATTCTACTAAACCTAGTCGCCGCTTGATCTCATTTCAATTGACGGCGAACTTTATAACTTCATTAGAATGATAGACTGTCTCGGCGGTTGAACGCCTGCATGAGAGGGTGATTTTGGGTTGGAAGTTACAGTGTTAAGTCTATTATATTGTTAACGTGTTGATTGTCACCATGCAACAAGGTATTTAAAGTATGTATTTCGTACTTCAGAAACCTAACAAAATTACTTTTATTATACTTGTATATTAAGCGATAACTTTAAAAAACAAATATTGTAGTCAGACAGACAGTAGCACGTGTTAATGTTTTTCATTCCAA